GCGTGAATTTTCCGACGTTTTCAGTTGGAACAAATACGATCTGGGCTGTACTCATCTGCTGCGTCACCATATTGATACGGGTGACAGCGCGCCAATACGCCAGAATCGTTTTTGGTTAAGTCCCGCCGAAAAGGACCATGTCAAATCGGCCGTTGATGACATGTTAGCCGCCGACATCATTTCTCCTTCTACCAGCCCTTGGGGAGCGCCGATTGTCTTAGTTAAAAAACATGACGGCTCGTTGCGGTTTTGCGTCGATTTTCGTCGCCTCAACAAAATTTCTGTTGCCGACGCATACCCGCTCCCACGGATGGACGAATTGCTTGACGCCTTGGCGGGAGCGCGATTCTTCTCCACATTGGATTTGCTTTCGGGATTCTGGCAGCTTCCTCTGGACGATGATTCGAAACCCAAAACTGCATTCCGTACACCGCACGGCCTGTTCCAATTCAACCGGTTGCCGATGGGACTCCACTCAGCGCCGGCAACTTTCCAGAGATTGATGGAATTGGTTTTGGCTGGGTTACAATGGGACTCGTGCTTGATTTATTTGGATGACGTTATCGTCTTTAGCAAAACATTCGACGAACATCTCCAGAGGTTGCGGGCGGTTTTCCTCAAAATGCGGGCTGATAATTTGAAATTTAAACCCCAAAAATGTCATTTGTTACGCGAATCTGTGCGTTATTTGGGACATATCATCGGACGCTCAGGTATTGCTACCGATCCCGCCAAAACGCAGTGTGTCAGCTCCTGGCCGACTCCCACCTCTGTGGGAGAGGTCAGGAGTTTCGTTGGATTCGCGTCGTATTACCGACGGTTTGTCGCGGATTTTGCAACGATTGCAAAGCCCCTACACGCTTTGACATCGAAGGGGGTCCGGTTCCACTGGGTACAGGAGGAGGAGGCTGCCTTCCGATCCCTCCGGGACGCGCTGGTAAAGGCTCCTCCCTTGGTTTACCCTGATTTTTCCAAACCCTTTTTGCTCGACATGGATGCGAGCAACACGGGTATTGGGGGCGTGCTTTCGCAGGTGGTTGACGGCGTGGAACGGGTAGTCGCGTACGGTAGTCGGGTGTTGTCTCCAGCGGAGCAAAGATATTGTGTCACCCGTCGGGAACTGTTGACAATTGTTAACTTCATCCAACAGTATCGCCCATATCTGTACGGTCGGCATTTCACCGTCCGCACAGATCATGCGGCACTACAGTACGCCCTGCGAGTTCAACAACCATCGGGACAATTCTCTCGATGGTTGGAGATTCTCCAGGACTTCGATTTCGAAACTACGTACCGTAAGGGCGTTCGCCACACCAATGTGGACGCTCTGTCACGGATGCCAACCACCTCCGAATGCGCATGCCTCCTGGGGTCGGGACGTTGCAGGCCTCCGAGTGAGATATCCGTTCCGGTCCAGGCGGCCGCCGCTGACGCAACGTCGATGACGGATTTGATTGCACAACAGGGAAAAGATTCCCTGTTGGGGTTGCCTGTTGCTGAATGGGGGCGCCTCCAGATGGAGGATACCTCCCTCCTCGCGTTGCGTCGTCGCGTCGGAAGTGCTGGGCGGGGGAGGGGTGATGTCGACTCATGGGAGATGGTCCAGGGTCTGTTAATGCATTGGGACGATAGATCCCATCGACACCGGCTGGTGGTCCCTTCTGTTTTGCGGGGTAAGGTGGTGTGGGCCGCTCATGAGCGCCTCCTCCACCTGGGGACTCAAAAGACCCTCGCCATGCTCCAGCTAGATTTTTTTTTGGCCGGGCATGACAAGGGATGTCGGGGATCTGTTGGGGTCATGTCCTCGGTGTGCGCAACGTAAACCACCAGCACAGGAGTCTAACCCGCCTTTGCAATCCATCAAAGTTTCCAGGGTCAACGAGCTTGTCGCGCTTGATATTCTGGGCCCATTCCCCACTACCCCCAGGGGCAAGAGATACCTGTTGACCGGGGTGGAATATTTTACGCGCTGGCCTATGGCCTGGCCCCTTGCCAACCAGTCGGCAGCAGCCATCGCGGAGGCCTTTGTCCAGGGATACGTCCTGGACAAAGGTGCTCCGGAGCGGCTGCTGACCGACCAGGGCAAAAATTTTCCTGGTAAACTTCTCCAAGAGGTCTGTGAGCTCCTGTGCACGAAAAAAATTCGTACCTCCCCATATCATCCGCAAACTGACGGGATGGTGGAGCGTCTGCATCGAACCATCACGTCAATGCTGTCCCAACAGGTCTCGGACTCACAGACCGATTGGGACCTTCAAATTCAAGGGGTCTTGGCAGCATATAGAATGGCTCCCCATGCGGCAATGCGATTTTCCCCCTTCTTCTTGATGTACGGCCGCGAACCTGACCCGCCTGTTCAGACCCAGCTGCAGATCTCCACGCCACGGGGTAAAACTAAATTGGCCGACCATGTTAAATTCAATATTGCTAAATTAACAGAGGCACGGGAGGCTGCTATGCAAAATTCCGACCTCCGCCAGAAGGCTAACGAGAGGCTCAGGCTGGGTCGGGCGCACGTGCTGCAGTGGAAACCGGGTGACAAGGCATGGTTACACTGTCCACAGGTACCACTTGCAACCTCCTCTAAACTGGTGCGGCCGTGGCGGGGCCCTGTGGAGGTGGTTCAGGTTTTGCGGCCTCAGTGTGTACGCATCAAATGGGGGAAGCGGCGGTGGTTTGTGCACCCCTCCAGATTGAAACCGTTCATTGCGGTCCGAGTTCCCACTTCACACACGCGTGGCCAGACATGTGGGAGGTCCGCCGACTCACAAGGTCCGTCTCCGCTGCTCTCACCTAACGTGCTGCCGGCTGTCCCGCCCCCAGGTGCACCGGGAGTGACGGGCTCACGCCCGACAACCCCTCCTGGGAATGCCGAGGGTCATGCGGCAACGGAAAGTGACTCACTCGGACACGGACGGTTGCCACCCAACAGTCCGCCATCCGGGGTTGCCCCGTGTGACGGGCCTGCTGCAAGAAGGCGCGCGAAAATGCGCAGACTTTTGTGATGCCCGGAGGATTGTACATATGTTGTGTTCACTGTGTTGTGTGTGTGGTGTGTTTTCCTGCAAATTGGATTGTATATATGTTGTGTTCATTGTGTGTTGTGTGTGTGGTGTGTTTTCCTGCAAATTGTATATAGGGTGCTCTTACGGAATTCGTATTTATTCGGGGGGGGGGGGGGGGGTGCGTCGGGTTATTTCTCTTCTTGCTGTTGTGGTTCTTGTTGGTGTTCTTGTTGTTTTTATTGTTGGAAAAAAAAATTGTGAGGCACACGCGGGTTCAAGGGGTAAATACACTTTTATTGTTGTTTGTTGCAGCCGGGACGGCTGCGAGCTGTACAGGGGGGGGGTGATGTAGGGGTGTTACGGAGGGGCTGTTATACAATGGGATCAGATGGGAAAGAAACACAGTGGGCGTGGCTATGTCGGTGCACGGGAAGGTGCTCCCAGCGACGTCCGCATCGGGCAGCCTGGGGGGCTGACTCGGAGCTGGGATCCCCCGGGGCCCCACCCCTCAGCGGGGGTTTTGGTATAAAAGGGGATGAGCCGGAGGGCTCAGGGAGAGAGGTTGAAGCTAACCAGTGAAGACTGAAGATCGTCATAGATAGAGCCCTGGACTCCCTTGGATCGCCGCCCTTATCAGGGCCGAACAGGATCGAGCCAGCGGCGTGGTCCCGAGAGCCAGAGCCGGTGCTCTTGTAAGAGCTGGTCTCGGACTCCGGGTACCGTGAGCCCGACTTACCAGTGTCGGACTAGCTAGCCTCCCCTAGCCCGTTAGTGGAGGACCCAGAGGTAGGCTAGGCGTAGCTAGAGAGTTTATCCCCAGTTAGACGGGTGAGGGGGCCGATACCCCCTCCAGTGTTGTATGTCAGTGTTGTGCTGTACCGACACGGAATAAATACGTGTGCCTCCAACCCCGGCGTCCAAGTCTCCTGGAACACTATTACACCTTTATTAATTCTAACCTTACTCCCTCCCTTTGATACTGCTAATCCTGCATAATGCATGGGCATAATGACTTTAAACCCCCTCGCCAATCCTCCTACATATCTCACAAGTAGTACTAATCGCATATCTGCATTTCCCATAAATATGCTAAATTCCTCTTGATATGCACTCCGCAGGGAATGGATTCTTTGCTCCGCTGCAAGCTTCCCACCACCATTCTCCCATTGACATATTTCGTTGCTTCCTCTTAGTACCTTTCACGCGGCGGTTTATGGTATAGTGTATAGCATATTATATAATAATAAATAGTATTAAAGTGTAATGTTTAATACAATGTATAAGGTAATATATAGTATCGTAATTTTATAGTGAATATATAGCAGTGTGCTATACAGTTGAGTGGATAGAATGAAACAGTGTAATATGACAAGGTATAGTCAATAAGCATATTAGTTGCTGCGGCGCCATATTATTAACATTCCTTCCCTTTATTAATTCTAACCTTACTCCCTCCCTTTGATACTGCTAATCCTGCATAATTCATGGGCATAATGACTTTAAACCCCTCGCCAAACCTCCTACGCATTTCACAAGTAGTACTAATCGCATATCTGCATTTCCCATAAATATGCTAATTCCTCTTGATATGCAAATTATTTTGTCAAGACGCTCTTCGCCCCTCCATCCCAGCATAAATAGTCGCTCCAAGCCTGGAGCGTGCATTCAGACTCTGTCTACTTGACAGACCTGTTCTCCACCTGAAGACGGCTGCTTGCGTTGTTATTTTATTACTTCCCTTCTACGTGACTTTACCGAAACAACCAAGAAGATGCAACACATGTCATAACACTCATCGTATGTGCATGTAAATACAGCGCATTATGGCGTTCTGACTTACGAACCGTTAGTTAGACTTATGAACGGTTCTCAGGAACTAAATGTGTTCGTAATCCCAGGACTGCCCGTAATTTAGAATTCAAAAATCGGAATCGAGTAAATTTTCGTTCCCAAAAAAGGAATCGATCCGAAAGATCGACGGAGTTAAATCTGCAATCGATTCTTCTGGAATTCCAGTTTCGGGGCCCTTTTATCAGACGACGCCTGCCGGCTGTGTGCCCGCAGTGATCGCTGTGCTCCTCCTCTCTCTGTGCTCGCTGTGCTCCTCTCCCCTCCCGCAAGCCATGGCGAGCGACATGCTGCTGTACTGGGGCTCGGGCAGCCCGCCGTGCTGGCGCATCCAGCTGTGCCTGGAGGAGAAGGCGCTGCAGGGCTACCAGCAGAAGCTGCTCTCCTTCGAGAAGCAGGAGCACAAGAGTGCAGCTGTGACCGAGATCAACCCCAGGGGACAGGTGCAGCTCACGCACGCACCACACTCGCACGCACCACACTGCAGCAGGATCAGCCTGGTAGCTTGAGACGAACAGGTCGTGGTTTTTTATCCGTGTCGCACGCAATAACTCCGGTCACGTTCAACTACGCAATTCTGCAGGTGGCAAAGACAAAAAGTCAGAAGTTTGAGACGCTCGGGAGCAATTGGTGTTTCGCGATCTTACCTATGGAGTGGGTGGCCAGCACTACGGCATGGCCGCCTTTGTCTCCCCCAGTGGGGATGTTGACACCGCACCGGGTACTGTCCTCGTTTGAGAGTGAGTCAGCCTCGGGCAGGCCCAGGATCGTTGCGGTAATTCGCTACTCTTATTGGTCAAGAGCGGGAATCGAAATCCGGTCGCCGGATTTGTAGCGCAGTGCGATAACCACATAACATTACCTCACTGCAGGTCACAACACACCACACACTCACCACCCACTCGCCCCACTGCAGGTCACAACACACTCACCACACACTCACCCCACTGCCAGGTCACAACACACTCACCACGCACTCACCCCACTGCAGGTCACAACACACTCATCACCCACTCACCCCACTGCAGGTCACAGCACACTCACCACCCACTCAGCCCACTGCAGGTCACAACACACTCACCACCCACTCGCCCCACTGCAGGTCACAACACACCCACCACCCACTCACCCCACTGCAGGTCACAACACACTCATCACCCACTCACCCCACTGCAGGTCACAACACACTCACCACCCACTCAGCCCACTGCAGGTCACAACACACTCATCACCCACTCACCCCACTGCAGGTCACAGCACACTCACCACCCACTCAGCCCACTGCAGGTCACAACACACTCACCACCCACTCACCCCACTGCAGGTCACAACACACTCACCACCCACTCACCACCCACTCACCCCACTGCAGGTCACAACACACTCATCACCCACTCACCCCACTGCAGGTCACAACACACTCACCACCCACTCAGCCCACTGCAGGTCACAACACACTCACCACCCACTCGCCCCACTGCAGGTCACAACACACTCACCACCCACTCGCCCCACTGCAGGTCACAACACACCCACCACACACTCACCACCCACTCACCCCACTGCAGGTCACAACACACTCACCACCCACTCGCCCCACTGCAGGTCACAACACACCCACCACACACTCACCACCCACTCACCCCACTGCAGGTCACAACACACCCACCACACACTCACCACCCACTCAGCCCACTGCAGGTCACACCACACTCATCACCCACTCACCCCACTGCAGGTCACAGCACACTCACCACCCACTCAGCCCACTGCAGGTCACAACACACTCACCACCCACTCACCCCACTGCAGGTCACAACACACTCACCACGCACTCACCCCACTGCAGTTCACAACACACTCACCACACACTCACCACGCACTCACCCCACTGCAGTTCACAACACACTCACCACACACTCACCACGCACTCACCCCATTCCAGGTCACAACACCCTCACCACACACTCACCCCATTCCAGGTCACAACACACTCACCACGCACTCACCCCACTGCAGGTCACACCACACTCATAACCCACTCACCCCACTGCAGGTCACAGCACACTCACCACCCACTCACCCCACTGCAGGTCACAACACACTCACCACACACTCACCACGCACCACCACGCACTCAGCCCACTGCAGGTCACACAACACACCCACACCACTCACCACCACTCACCACCCACTCACCCCACTGCAGGTCACAACACACTCCACCACGCACTTCACCCCACTGCAGTTCACACCACACTCACCACACACTCACCACGCACTCACCCCACTGCAGTTCACAACACACTCACCACACACTCACCACGCACTCACCCCTCTGCAGTTCACAACACACTCACCACACACTCACCCCATTCCAGGTCACAACACACTCACCACGCACTCACCCCACTGCAGGTCACACCACACTCATCACCCACTCACCCCACTGCAGGTCACAGCACACTCACCACCCACTCAGCCCACTGCAGGTCACAACACACTCACCACCCACTCACCCCACTGCAGGTCACAACACACTCACCACCCACTCGCCCCACTGCAGGTCACAACACACCCACCACACACTCACCACCCACTCACCCCACTGCAGGTCACAACACACCCACCACACACTCACCACCCACTCAGCCCACTGCAGGTCACACCACACTCATCACCCACTCACCCCACTGCAGGTCACAGCACACTCACCACCCACTCAGCCCACCGCAGGTCACAACACACTCACCACCCACTCACCCCACTGCAGGTCACAACACACTCACCACGCACTCACCCCACTGCAGTTCACAACACACTCACCACACACTCACCACGCACTCACCCCACTGCAGTTCACAACACACTCACCACACACTCACCACGCACTCACCCCATTCCAGGTCACAACACCCTCACCACACACTCACCCCATTCCAGGTCACAACACACTCACCACGCACTCACCCCACTGCAGGTCACAACACACTCACCACCCACTCACCCCACTGCAGGTCACAACACACTCACCACCCACTCACCCCACTGCAGGTCACAACACACTCACCACACACTCACCACGCACTCACCCCACTGCAGTTCACCACACACTCACCACACACTCACCACCCACTCACCCCACTGCAGGTCACAACACACCCACCACACACTCACCACACACTCACCCCACTGCAGGTCACAACACACTCACTACACACTCACCCCACTGCAGGTCACAACACACCCACCACACACTCGCCACGCACTTACCCCACTGCAGGTCACAACACACTCACCACGCACTCAGCCCACTGCAGTTCACAACACACTCACCACACACTCACCACGTACTCACCCCACTGCAATTCACAACACACTCACCACACACTCACCTCGCACTCACCCCACTGCAGGTCACAACACACTTCACACACACTCACCACCCACTCACCCCACTCCAAGTCACAACAATCTCGCCACCCATTCACCCCACTCCAATTCACAACACACTCACCACCCACTCACCCCACTGCAGGTCACAACGCACTCACCACCCACTCACCCCACTGTAGGTCACAACACACTCACCACCCACTCACCCCACTGCAGGTCACAACACACTCACCACCCACTCACCCCACTGTGGGTCAAAACACACTCACCACCCACTCACCCCACTGCAGGTCACAACACACCCACCACCCACTCGCCCCACTCCAGGTCACAACACACTCACTACCCACTCACCCCACTGCAGGTCACAACACACTCACCACCCACTCACCCCACTGCAGGTCACAACACACTCACCACCCACTCGCCCCACTCCAGGTCACAACACACTCCCCACCCACTCGCCCCACTCCAGGTCACAACACACTCACTACCCACTCACCCCACTGCAGGTCACAACACACTCACCACCCACTCACCCCACTGCAGGTCACAACACACTCACCACCCACTCACCCCACTCCAGGTTCACAACACACTCACCACCCACTCACCCCACTGCAGGTCACAACACACTCACCACCCACTCACCCCACTGCAGGTCACAACACACCCACCACACACTCACCAGGCACTCACCCCACTGCAGGTCACAACACACTCACCACCCACTCACCCCACTTCAGGTCACAACACACCCACCACACACTCACCACGCACTCACCCCACTGCAGGTGACAACACACTCACCACACGCTCACCACACACTCACCACGCACTCACCCCGCACTCACCCCACTGCAGGTCACAACACACTCACCACACACTCACCACGCACTCACCCCGCACTCACCCCACTGCAGGTCACAACACACTCACCACACACTCACCACGCACTCACCCCACTGCAGTTCACCACACACTCACCACACACTCACCACCCACTCACCCCACTGCAGGTCACAACACACCCACCACACACTCACCACACACTCACCCCACTGCAGGTCACAACACACTCACCACACACTCACCCCACTGCAGGTCACAACACACCCACCACACACTCGCCACGCACTTACCCCACTGCAGGTCACAACACACTCACCACACACTAACCACGCACTCAGCCCACTGCAGTTCACAACACACTCACCACACACTCACCACGCACTCACCCCACTGCAGGTCACAACACACTTCACACACACTCATCACCCACTCACCCCACTCCAGGTCACAACAATCTCGCCACCCATTCACCCCACTCCAGGTCACAACACACTCACCACCCACTCGCCCCACTCCAGGTCACAACACACTCACTAACCACTCACCCCACTGCAGGTCACAACACACTCACCACCCACTCACCCCACTGCAGGTCACAACACACTCACCACCCACTCGCCCCACTCCAGGTCACAACACACTCACCACCCACTCACCCCACTGCAGGTCACAACACACTCACCACCCACTCACCCCACTCCAGGTTCACAACACACTCACCACCCACTCACCCCACTGCAGGTCACAACACACTCACCACCCACTCACCCCACTGCAGGTCACAACACACCCACCACACACTCACCACGCACTCACCCCACTGCAGGTGACAACACACTCACCACACGCTCACCACACACTCACCACACACTCACCACGCACTCACCACGCACTCAGCCCACTGCAGTTCACAACACACTCACCACGCACTCACCACGCACTCACCCCACTGCAGGTCACAACACACTCACCACACACTCACCACGCACTCACCCCACTGCAGTTCACCACACACTCACCACACACTCACCACCCACTCACCCCACTGCAGGTCACAACATATCCACCACACACTCACCACACACTTACCCCACTGCAGGTCACAACACACTCACCACACACTCACCCCACTGCAGGTCACAACACACCCACCACACACTCGCCACTGCACTTACCCCACTGCAGGTTACAACAC